TTCTTTTGTTGTTTTTATTGAAAATTCAAATATGTATATATATTCTTTTCAGCATCAACATCATGTGCCAAAACAGAAAATTGCCCGTAATCGTAAGTTAAATGTTAGAAGGATAAAGGTGTACATAGACATTTAGAATGATTTTACTTTCTTTAACGCTTCTTTCACGCATTGTTGCTTTTCATATATGTATTCATCTATATTCTCTGTATGTATATATTTTTTGTCTGATTATGATGCTAGATTCTTATATGCTTTATTCGATTAGTTTACCTTAAAATGCTTACGAGAAATCTATTTGCTTCTTTCAGAAAATGCAACGTGTTCCATCATCTGTAAGATATTATTCAAAAATAGAATACATTAAGATTGTTTACTTAAAAGGCCATCATCATGGAGAGAGAATTGTACAGCAGAAGAGTCAAAATTTAGGACAAGAAAGATACTATTCTACTATAAGACATATATATTATTATTGATGTAATTGTTATTGAATCTCAATACGAATGGAAAAGGGATGATAATTCCACAAAATCGATTTTGATTGTGTGAAGGTTCTGTTTCATGCTTCCTTTCTTGTTTTTTTTTTATTGATTTGTTAGAATTTATTTTCTTCACGAGACTCTTCTTTGAAAGAGCAGCGACAAAGAGAAGAGATGATATCTATGAACCATATAATACTTCACTGACTCGTTTTCATTCGTTTTTCATAAGAACAATCAGAAACAATTTATTGAACAGAGAGCAATCGTCCTTTTCCTCTAAACTCTGCCATTGTATTATCGTTTCAAAATATGAATTCTCATCGATAATTGATTCGAACAGATTATTATAAGAGATATTTCTTTATGAAAAATGATTGCACACATGTTGCATTGTTGAACAATGTAATTCATGTTAAAATTCATTTTAAAATGACTATTGCCGAAGCAAGCAAACTTCACTATAGACTGTCATTAGTTTAGTATGTTCCTTCTCTTATCGATGAAATTCTTTAGAAATTGTCGACTATTTGAGGTATTTATCAAATCTAGTAGACAACACAAACATGTTACTCGATCTGTTACAACACACTAACATTCGATGACATTTGGCATTATAGTTATATATTCACTCTGAATCTTAGTCAAGATATTCAGGTACTGTGATTGGAGGTTTGAAAGTTCGTTATTTGTCCAGATTAAGTATTTAAATGTTAGTCAGTACTCATGATTTAAACTAAATATCGAAATCTTGTCTCAATTAGGGTTGCCTGCACTATAGCTAATCTAATTAATGCATAATAAATAGGACCTAGTTTGGAATTCAGATGAATTTAGAGTCTTAAATTCTATATCAAGGTTGAACTTTGAATGCCGAACATGAATATCGGAAGTAAGATTCGAATTCGATACATCTTTATTTGAAAAAAAAACAAGGTCTTGTAGAAAAGTTTGATAGCTACATGTAGACAATGAGAGAAGAGAATTTCTAAGACTCAACGAGACTCATCATATAAAGTATTCCCAAAGTATTCCATCCCTTTGAATACAATCGAACAGTTTTTACATTAATTCATTTAGATAGAAAATAAGGACAGTTTCGAACAACGATTATGCCAAACAATTAGTGCCAATTGTTGCCATAGCTAATAATGATAGTCTGATTAGGTCGAGTACCTGGCAACAGTTGCATAAGACTAAAATAGAAAAATAACTCAACATAAGATGAGCAAAATGATACTGGATATTCCTGATCCATTTGTTCTACCAAAAGAAAATTGCAGAGGAAAACAAAAAAGAACATGTAAATCAGAGACCATCACAGGATTAAGTTTTCCCTGTCTTACTCTGCATTCTGCTTTTTCTTATCTTGCTCTGCCAACAGGGCATGATGTCGTGAGAGTTGAAGATTCATTGTCCTTACTTGATATTTCTTCATCTTGTTCAATAAAAGATATCTGACTTTCTTTAAATCACGAGATTTTACAATAATTAATCATAAATTTCAAACAGCAGAATTGCCAGATTGAAGTGTATTACTCAGCAACATTTCGTTATTATGAACTGATCATAATAAGATTATGGATACGTTGCGGAAGAAAATCGATATCTATATACATATGTATGCAAACACAAGGGATTAATAGAGTAAATAATTCGAGTATCTGCATTGTCCATGAAGATTACATTTTGTTCGATAATTTCTCTGATTCATATTCAATCAATTTTTACATGATTATTCTGATAAATGAAATCTTACCTTTTGAAAAGAGTGACAAATTCACAGTCTCGTTGAAAGTGACAAAACACGATTAAAACTTCGACACAATAGTAAATAGTTAATTAGTGGGAAATCTATTTCAAAAGAGTAACGCAGTAGCAGTTATTAGACCAGACCTACTTTCCATAGTCACTTTGGATAGCTACAAGATGGACAATGGAGCGTAAAAGATATCAAAAGTACATACATTTGCCAGCGCCATGAAGCGGTACTTTTAAAAATTAATGATAAATGGTCGCACAATTATGTGAACAACTCTCTAGGCATTCTGCATGTTTTCATATATGAATTTTGCATGATTGTTTCTCTGTCATTTTCATACTCAAGCATGCGGTTAACTTTTCTTTTACAGTTAATGCTATCATTTTAAAGACTTCTATTCACTTCGATTTTAGGAAAAATCAATCCATCAACAATTGGTCGAAGCCCATCAAGAAATCGCCAACGTACGTGCTTTCCACATTGTTATATTAATTTATGTTATTATCTTACCTTCCAGCTCATTCAACAACACCAAGCATACACACAACAACACCAAGCACAAACACAACAACATGAAATAGAAGTACAACAACTACAACAACAGATACAAGATTTAGAACACCAGGTCCAACATCTTCAGCAGGAATTGCAACAAATACAACAAGCTGCACCTCCACAACCAAATGCAGTACCACAACAGCCATCACCACCACTTCAACAGCCGCAGGTACTACAACAGTCTTCATTACCACCTCAAGAAGAACAACAGCAACAAGAAGTCATACCAGGGCTCGAAACGGGCCGTCCGGCCCGATGGCCCGGCCCGGCCCAACCATCTCTTCGGGCCGGGCCGGGCCGGGCGGGCCAACATTTTTCTCGGGCCGCTCGGCTCGAAGTAGGTTTTTCTTTTATGAAAATATATAGATGTTAGTAAATCTGGAATGTATTAAAAAATTATTATCGTAGATGCTTATCTCGAATTTTACTTGGATAATAAAATGGACCAATAATCTGTTGGTAGACATAATTTGTTATTTGTGTGGTTTTTTCGATACTTTTCATCTTCTCCCCAGAGAAATTGTTTATTATATTCGACTTTTTTCACGATAATTTTTTATTTATCTATTGTCATTCTTAGATATTTATCTAATAGATAAATATCTAAGAATGACAATAGACGAAAAATTTAAAACACCTAATCCTCTTCTTTTGGCAACATCATGAAATCCATTTACCACATTTGGCCAAACCGGTCAAAAGGTTGTATTCAATACCTTCTACGTCTTGTGGCGTAGAGCGCTAGTTCAGCGCTGCAGGAGTTTTAGTAAATGAAAGAAGATCATCATTAAATCCTGGCATAGTTGAGGACGTACTTTTTGTGCGCTCGGTGCAGAAAGCATTAATGAAAAATCTAAATCTTTTTTTCGATGTAATTTTCATTTTTTTCCTGTGTTGGACATCTATTTTCGTTCGTTCTACTTGTTGGTACTTTCTTCTTCATTGTATTTATAAATATTATTCGTTCATTATACTTGTCAATATTTTTCTTCTTATTATTGGAATCAACTGATCCTAATAAATTTATCAGTAAATTAATGATGTATTCATTAGAAGTTTTTTCGAACTATAAGACTGGCTTTAAAGATCGGTTTTTACAAAAAAAAAACATTTATTTAAATAACATTTTCTTTAGCGTCGGGCCGGGCGAACTTGAATTAGTTTTGGGCCGCTTTGGGCCGGCCCGGACCATGAAAAAGTGGCCCGTTTCGAGCCCTGAGTCATACCACCACCACCAGAAGCACAAGTTCCACAACATCAGAACCTCAGAGCACGAGGAGCACGCATGCGAAGACGGCTCAGACGCTTAGTTCAACCACGTCCTCGAGACCGTCATTTGTCATCAAGGGGTGATTAGGTTAAGGTATGCTTTTCCACTATTCCCATCAATTCTTACCACACTATTTCAGTTATTTTTTTCATTCTAGATATTATATATAAATATCAATAGTGAGTACTCCAGAAAAATATTTATTTGCATCATAATGAGTTCTATTTTTCTTTTTTAGATTAAAAAAAATTATTAAAGCTTAAAAATTAAAAAACATTAAAAAATTAAAAAAAATTAAAAAATTAAAAAAAATTAAAAAATTAAAAAAACCAAAACAAAGTAATTTTGACATATACTATGTATTTATTTGGTTAATATAAAAAAATCTGTTTTTCATTTAGACCACAAAAATTTTATTTATACAATAAAAATGATGATCAATTACTAATGATATAATCTTGGCCAATTCAAGCTGTTTGTCTGGATCTAAATATTTCGAAAATGAACATATTTGTTATCGATGATACATCAGTAAGTTAATAAAATATATGTGATTTAAAAACAATGTCTTTATTTCTTTAAATAGTTTATCTTAAATGAATGAGGAAGTTTTGGTCGACATAAAACAATAATATTATTTAA